TTTGGGAGGGTGGAATAAAATGCAACTGAAAACAGTCAAATATTATTTTGGACTTCCACACAAAGTGCTGAAGCTGTTACACTGTCTGGGTTAAGGTCAATAATATATAGCTGTTGCTAGACAATACAAGACTAATCCTTACTGTAAATGCTTTGGTAGAAACTTAACTATCACATTATGTTACAAAAATATCACAGAAGATAACATGATTCACCACAGAAAAAGAGTGTACTGGCCGCAGGTATCCTAAAGCATATGCTGAAAAACCTAAAGCCTTCCCAAAGGAGTAAGTGAAAAAACAGGTTTCCAAACCACATTTTCAGTCCGTACTTCAGCTTTCGCAAAGCGACAGCATGTGGAGTACGGACCAGCAAGGCACCCAACACGCTCGCCTCTCTCCAGAGTCTTTCTGAACTAAGACAACTCAAACAAATCTTTATTTACATTACAGATCTACATTTTTACAGTCTGGGGGCCTGATCCTCTGGTCCTTATTCAGAATCTACTGAGTTCCCAGGTGGGTAGTACCAACCACACACAGAGGAACCACGTTTCTCCTAAGGCCTTCGCTGAGAAGGTTTTCCAGTGCTTATTTCCAAACCTTGGCAAGCTGGGTAAGAGTTGTCTATTATTATTATTATTATTATTATTATTATTATTATTATTATTATCATAGCTACTACTGCTGCTACTACTATGAAGACATGGTTGCAAAAGAGGATTGATTCTAAAAGAAGCTGCAAACTGTGCGGCTCCTCTTCCAGCTTTTTATCTATATATCGCTATTCTTTTGTTTAAGGAGAGCTTTCTCTAAACAAACCTTGCACAAAAGGTTTAAGTAATTAGTGACGGATTCACGCAATGCAGCCATTCAAATATGGCTGTCCTCTGATCTAGAATGAGCTGATCAAACACCAGTAAGCTAATTATTTCAGACACTGTACAGTAATCACCAAGCCCAAGTGTGAACATTTACAATCAAAACAAGTATTATTTTCTGCACTAGAAGACAGTCTCATCATCCATGTATGTCAAAACTAATATGTGCAATGCGTAAGCTTCCAACAGAAACTGAAACTACTGATGCCCACTGCCAGGAGGTATCGATATGGCCCTGTTCAGCATTTCAAGATAATAACCAGCCTAGTGTACTAATTCATAAACTCAAAGAGGGAGCAGTTTGCGTTTGCAATGTAACTTGTGGAAAAGTACAAGTGGCATACAGCAGTATAGGTATTTCTCAGATGATCAGTGCTCAGCTCTGCTCTCAAGGAAATAACTGGCGGGTTTTGTGCTATCTCAGGGCAACCAGGCTTCGTTCACACTGACTGGGGACCTACAGCTCTGTTTTGTATTCCTCCTTCCCTCAACTCCCAAGCCTTAAAAATAGCGAGAATACTTTTCAAATGACTAATCCAAGTACAGTCATCTCATTATCTGTCTTGAAATATCCCAGGACTGCTTTTGAAAAATATTTTAGAGAATAGGGCTAGAGAGTCATTAGGGTTTTTCTCCCCCCAGTCAACTTCAAAGTAGACATACAAAGAACTTCACCACAGTACTTCCCATTTAGGATAAACTATTTTGGCACTTCTGAAGAAATCAGACAAGTTAAATCTCTCTCAAAGCTTCACTTTCTTGGACTGGTAAGCAAGCAGGTGACACAGATGGCACCGAAGTAAATGCTGCTTTGCTATAGATGACGGTACATCCCCTGCACAGCACAGTGAGGTTCCTAAGACGCTTCGCAGAGTGACAGACTATGGGCTCAATCCAACATCTCCTACTCCAATGAGTACCCTTTACTCACATTAGAAACACCACTGAAATTAATGGGATTGAAAGAGTACGAACTAGTCATGCAAATAGCAGTCTTTGTCGTCTTGCCCCAAACAAGCACTCCGGGGGGGGAAAAGCAAGACTGAAAATAATGACTGATAAATATTTTTATATATATATGTATGTCTGTTGGAGAAATGGACATTGCCCCAGTACTTCACAAATTAGGGTTTTAACATCCCTTTCAGTAGTACTTATTAATATGAAAGCACTAAGGTACTGTACTTATTGTTGCTTTTGCAGTGTAAGTCTTCGCCGACTTCAACAGGGAATGCAGCTTAAGAGCATATGCCCCCACATGAAAGGGCATTTTTGTTGTTTGTTAAAACTCGGTCACTTTATGAACGACAGAAAGCAATACCAAAATTTTATCATTACTCCTGATGATTAAAAATTTCAGATGTTAAAATATGAAGCTAAAAATTAATTTTTGTTTTCAGTTACAGCATGTACCTATTACAGGAAAACATAGCATTTTTCCACGTTTCCTTATGTTTTATAGCTT